TAGATGACGGGGTTGTAGACAGTGGAGGCCTTGGAGAACACGGAGGGCACGGAGGCCAGCCCCACATCGAAGGGGTGGCCGCGGTGCGTGACCACCCAGAGGGCGAAGGCCGAGTAGGGCAGCCAGCACACCAGGAAGCCCAGCACCATCACCACCACCATCTTGGTCACCTCCCGCTCCGCCTTCTGCGTGCTGGCCGACTGCTCCTGCTGCTTGGCCACCTGGGGACCGCGGGGGCCACAGCGGCCTCAGCTGTGGGGCCACAGCTGGGGGTGTGGGGTCACAGCTGGGGGGTGTGGGGGTCACAGCTGGGGGGTGTGGGGGTCACAGCTGGGGGGTGTGTGGGGGTGTGGGGTCAGATATGGGGATGTATGGGGGGTATGCCGTCAGATATAGGGGAAGGGTCTGGGGGACATGGGGTCAGATATAGGGTCAGATGTAGGGGGGGGGTATGGGGGATATGGGGGGATATGGGGTCAGATATAGGGGAAGGGTCTGGGGGACATGGGGTCAGATACGCAGGGTCAGGCACAGGGGGTGTGGGGTCCAATATGGGGGTGAATATGGGGGACAGATTTGGGGTCAGACACGGGGGTGTCACACTTTGGGGGTCACTCCTGGGGTCAGTTTGGGGCACTCAGCCATGCCACTGACCCATGGAGGTCTCAGACCCCCAGCACTGACCCTCGCTGACCCCCCCCCGCTTTGGGGTCCCCATAAGGACCCCCCACCCCACAGGACCCCTCCTCTCCTGTGCCCCCAATGAACCGTGTACCCCAATAAAGCCGTGTACCCCAACAAACCGTGTGCCCCTCGAGACTCCCCCAAACCCCCTCGGGACTCCCCCAACCCCCTTGGGGCCCCCCAGACCCCCTCACCGCGCGCAGGGTGAGCAGCAGCCGCCCGTAGGAGAAGACGATGACGCTCAGGGGGAAGCCGAAGCAGAAGCAGAAGAGGAAAATCACGTAGGACTCGTTGTTCCATTTGTTGTCCGTCGTGTACCAGTCCGGGCCGCAGGAGCACTGCAGCCCCTCGGGGATGTACCTGGGGAGGGGGCGTCACACCTCTGTGGGACCCCCGAACCGCCCCCGAGACCCCCGAGTGCAGCAACCCCTCCCCAAAAATTCCCGGGACCCCCAAAATCCTCGGGAGCTCCTCAGCCCCTCCGGGCTGTACCTGGGGAGGGGGCGGGGGTCACACCAATGTGAGACCCCCGAACTCAGCCCGGGACCCCCAGACCGCTCTTGGGACCCCCAAACTGTCCCCGAGATCCCCGAACTACCCCCGAGACTCCCCCAAAATTCCCGGGAGCCCCAAGTCCCCTCGGGAGCTCCTCAGCCCCTCGAGGATGGTGAGGGTGGGTGGGCATCGCCGTGGGACCCCCGAATTCAGCCCGGGACCCCCAAACAGCCGCCAGGATCAGTCCCTGGGACCCCCAGACTCATCCCGGGAGCCCCGAATTGCTGCCAGGACCTTCGAGCTGCCCCCAGACCCTTAAAACCCCTCCGGACCCCCAAAACCTCCAGGGACCCCTGACCCTCCTGGGACCCCCGATCCAACTGGGACCCCCGATCCAACTGGGACCCCCAATTCCCGTCAGAGCCCAAACCTTGGGGACCCCCTGGTCCCCCCAGGCCCCCCCGGACCTGCTCCAGCCGAAGAGGGGGGGCACGGCGGCGATGAGGCCGAAGATCCAGGTGATGGCACAGCCCAGAACCGCGTGGCTACCCCGGAACGTGAAGTTGCCCAGGGGCTTGCAGATGACCAGGAAGCGCTCGAAGGCCACCACGGCCAGGGACCAGAGGGACACCATCCCTGGGGACAGGGGACACGGGTGACACCCCTGTCACCGTGGCCACCATGGCCACCACAGGGACACCATCCCTGGGGACAGGGGACACGGGTGACACCCCTGTCACCTTGGCCACCATGGCCACCACAGGACACTGCCCCGTGCCAATGTCACGGCATCCACGTGTCCCCATTGTCCCCCTGTCCCTGTCCCACACTTGCCAAGTCTCACCTGCCCAATGTCCCCACACCTGGCGCTCCTCGGCCAACTGTCCCCAGACCCAATGTCCCCAAAGCCACGGTGACACTGCTCCTCTTGTCCCCCACGCCTGACACCCCCAGACCCAGCGCCCCCAGACTCAATGTCCCCAGATCATGGTGACCTCGTGCCTCATTTCCCACACCCCCAATGCCCCAGACCGAACACCCCCCGACCCAGAGCCCCCAGACCACGGTGACCACCTATCCCATATCCCACACCCCCAGACCCCAAGCCCCCATCCCCAGCGCCCCCCACCCCTTTCCCCCTTTCCCTCACCGCCCAGCGTGGCTGCAAACCCCTCGACCTTGCAGGCCAGCGGCCCCAGGGCGAAATACATCTGGGAGAAGCTGTAGAAGGCCGTGGTGGAGCCCACGCACACCACGAGCAGGTTGGCCACGGCCAGGTTGACCAGGATGTAGTTGAGGTGGGAGCGGAGCTTCTTGTACTTGGCCGTGCAGGCCACGGTGAGCGCGTTGATGGGGACCCCGAGCACGATGAGCAGGAACATGAAGGCTGCCATGGCCCGGAACACGCCGGGGCTGCCCAGGTGCGTCTGGGGCACCAGGAAAGGGCTCAGCGCCGTCAGGTTGGTGGTGTCCAGGCTCATGGGGATGTAGAAATCCTCGGGCAGCTCGTCCCGCATTTCCCGTGGTTTCTGCATGGCGGCGGGGGGACGGCGGATGGGTGGGGGGCGATGGGGTGGATCTTTTATAGGGAGGGGGGCGGATGGGACGGGCCCCCCCCCCATTAATAATCGCGGTTTAGGAGGCAAAGCGCGGCTGAGCTCGGCTCATCCGGTGGCCGGCGCTGGCCAAGCTGGGCTTAGGCGCCCGGCAAGCGGCTTTCGGGGGGTCTTAATCACCCCCAAGCCCTGATTAGTGGGGTTGGGGTGGGGGATCAGGGGGTATCAGG